TCACTCAATCAACACACACTCACTCAATCAATCACACACACACTCACTCAATCACACACACACACTCACTCACTTCAAATCACACACACTCACTCACTCAATCACACACACTCACTCACTCAATCACACACACTCACTCACTCAATCACACACACACTCATTCACTCACTTACTCACTCAAATATACACTAAATGCATAAGATCTGTGCACATTTCCAGATATGTGAATATGTGTCTGGGTTTGTGAGCATGTGTCTGGGTTTGTGAGCATGTGTCCGCGTTTGGGTGCATGTGTACGGGTTTGGGTGCATGTGTACCGGTTTAGGTGCATGTGTCTGGGTTTAGGCGCATGTGTCTGGGTTTAGGCGCATGGTACGGGTTTAGGCGCATGTGTACGGGTTTAGGCGCATGTGTAGTTTTAGGCGCATGTGTACGGGTTTAGGCGCATGTGTACGGGTTTAGGCGCATGTGTACGGGTTTAGGCGCATGTGTACGGGTTCAGGCGCATGTGTACGGGTCTGGGTGCATGTGTTCGGGTTTGGGCGCATGTGTCTGGGTTTGTATGCATGTGTCTGGGTTTGTATGCATGTGTCTGGGTTTGTATGCATGTGTCTGGGTTTGTATGCATGTGTCTGGTTTGTATGCATGTATCTGGGTTTGTATGCATGTGTCTGGGTTTGTATGCATGTGTCTGGGTTTGTATGCATGTGTCTGGGTTTGTATGCATGTGTCTGGGTTTGTATGCATGTGTCTGGGTTTGTATGCATGTGTCTGGGTTTGTATGCATGTGTCTGGGTTTGTATGCATGTGTCTGGGTTTGTATGCATGTGTCTGGGTTTGTATGCATGTGTCTGGGTTTGTATGCATGTCTGTGCATGTCTGTATGCATGTGTCTGGGTTTGTATACAGGTGTCTGGGTTTGTATGCATGTGTCACAGTTTGTATACATGTGTCTGGGTTTGTACGCACATGTCTGGGTTTGTACACATTTGTCCAAGTTTGTGCACATGTCTGGGCAAGTGTCTGGGTCGGTACACATGCATCTGGGTTTGTATACATGTGTCTGTGAACATATATCTGCTTGAGCTAATGTGAATATGTGCATGTCCACATGCATTTTATCACATTCATAACCTAACCTCTATTCTGGAGGCATTTACAAAGCAGTTAAAAGCAAAGCACAGTCACATGAAAAACATACTACAAGCTGTAGAGCCTAATGGATCAATACATTAGATACATCCTGCTGGTAGCCTTTATCTTATTACAGAGTGCAATTTATTAGAAAAAGACAAAACAACAACAAAGAATACCTACAAGAGAGTTACCAGTCACAAGGTGGTGCAATAGACAATTTCACCCTTTACTGTTTCCAGCATGTATTTAGATTATCATATAATCCAATAATACATTATAATACAGTCTCCAACTTTGCTAACATGATAAAAAAAAAAAAGTACAGAAGGGGGCTGCAACTACAATTCATTATACGGAATTCTGGTAAGAATGCTACTGAATGGTTGTGTTCCTCTAGCTTTATGTTATTTCTTTCCGTCTTCTCTGGTGTCCTCTTTTCAAATGATAGCTAAGTGACTTTGCTTATGCCCTTACCTCAGGAAACACTAATACATAAAGCCTGGATTCCATTACTTAGACTCAAATCTGAACCTTGAACCACCTAAAGCTGACCAGCCTTCTAATCATGGTTACATCAAAATTTCACCAGCCCCCTCATCAAAAAGCATCTAATAAGGTTTCAAAATGTTTTAAATCATGTTTAGAACTGCTAAACCCATTGACCCTGGGTTAAAAAATTGGCTAGTAGGCCATTAACGCTGGGCTGTTGGTGTGTATCAACAGTTTCCCATTTGCACCTAGCTCATTTGGTAGTTTGCAGCCAACAATAGGCACCTAAAAGCTTATATTTTTATATAATTTTTAAAAAATAATAAAAATATGAAGGTTTACCTTCACTTCAGGTGCCATTGCCTTAAATTTTCACCATACAAATGATGACACAAGAAGAAGAAGAAGAAGAAGAAGAAGAAGAAGAAGAAGAAGAAGAAGAAGAAACCAATAGCATGGGAATGGTCATGATGCGAAGCCATCTGCTATTTGGTCCACAACAGCCATGCCATGTACATACATACCACTCGGAGGCAAGGGGTTAATATATTTGTGAGATATTCACAGACTATATCACTGAGAAAGTACTAAGTCTGACTCTACTACTTTTCCTACCTCACCTAATATCCAAATGTTGCCGCAAAGTAATACAACCACATTAGCTACTACACCAGGATTAATATCAAGGACTCCTCCATGATAGAAAATAGAAAAACAGCCCAATGTTTTTTTTTTTTTTTTTTTTTTTTTTTTTTTTTTTTCAAAAACCTTTTCTTTCATTCAGGACAAGCTCAATCTCAAGATCTAGCACTATCAGAACCACGAAATGGCAAACCTATATAGCACAGAACAAAGGGTAGCCTCCATTACATAATAATGAATAATGTCATCTAGAATTTGGGCCCACACACACCACGTCATACATAGATGCAATGTGCTGGGAAGAGAGGGAGAGCATTGCCCAGTATGACACAAGACAGAATTTGCACAGATAAATATTAGTCTACCTGAACCAACTAACCCTCTATGCTAGTACTCTAGCTTAAAGGTGGACATCATTCTACTATTTCCTACTATTAAAATGATCATTTGGATGGGTACCATGGAATTGATCATATCAACGGGATATCTACTTAATTAATCCATTGGATCCAATTGCCCTGCGATTCAAGTGTGGACCATACTATGTTATTAGATTTCTTTGAGCCTACACTGTTTTGCTTCTTTCTAAAGCCTATATCTGCCATTTATGATGGATCAAGATTTATACACTGCTTTCATTAAAGACTATATTATCTCTACAACTCTGTGCTATAACAATAGGTACCAATATGTTCTCTTTATATTTTCATAATATTCAATTTTGCATAACACACTGTCTTGCAGATCAAAGCAGGCATGAACAGATTACTGGGTATGGAAATAGTGTCCTTGTGAAAAATGGTACATTCTAACCTTGTTTACCGGTGGAAATAATGCAAGAGCCCCTTCCCAAAGGCCTACCAAGTCTAATCTCCATCCAAAAGTGTTGTACACACTCATAGCAAGACATCCCCGTAACCCATCACTCTCCATCAATATCTCATCAGCCCGGATATCAGCCATATTTTTTGATAACACATTCCTGTCATCTGCCACTTAGCCAAGTTCTTCATGGGTGAATGGGAAATAATTTTTAACTGGTAAGTCATCTAAAAAAGTGGCTACTTACAAACAAAAGCTTGTAATGTGAAATATACCTCAATGAAATTATCTGGACAATAATTTTCTTGTAAAATATGCCCTAATTGCAGACAAAGTAATTGTTGCAGTTGCCTCTTTAACCTATTAGGAAGTCAATAAAGCTCTTTCAAAGTATTTTCAAGAAACATGCCAAAACTGAGAAACCATTAACCCCTACATAAAAGATTTCACACAATGTATCCCCTCCTAAACTAAAAGTCTGCCCAAATAAAAATGGGTGTCATGGGAGAAATCCTCATGCAGTTGGCAGCATGAAAAAGTTTGATATAGTTGTGGCTGAGGAGCAGACAGGTTTCTGTCAACCACCCATTTAGATATGCCATTGCATCAAGGATTAAAGTGTCACATTACCATATTTAATAATGTGTTAGAATAAGTATGTATATCACAGATATCAACAGGAACAACGAAGGGAAGGGCAAGAAAACACACGAATATGCTGAAGGCCTTTTCGCCATTTGCTTTGTCAGGGCATACCCTATCCCTAAACCACATCAAATACTAACTTCTTTACCTAACCTAGCAACCCTTATTACCATAAACATTAGTCCTAGTATGAGGCTGAAAAAATTGACAACTATAATCAATCAATAATATTAAAATGCCATTCACATCCCTTACATTCTCTCCGTGACACAAGGGAATATTTACCAGTTTCAATACAGAAGTTGCCCAAATTTGTGATTTTTTCCCCCCTCTTTAATAAGAATTCCCTATTAGTACCCTCGGCAACTCCCTTGTAAGTAGAACATTTTTGGCCATTCAAGCAAAAGCTGTATGCCACTACAATGCTACCACTACAACCAATACCACAAACAGACTAAGGAGAATACTTACTCTTTTGACTTTGCGGTGAGGTCCATTTGAGTCGGAATCTGAGGCAGGCTGGCCTGCATGAAAGGCAAAGTTGTGAATACTCGGCTGTGGAAGTAACACAAGGGCCAACGTTAGCTTATTCCACTCATGCCAGGCCAGTGGACGGCAGCGGGGTAACTTTTGCACGCGTTGGTATTATTTGATGTATGGATATATGTATGAAAAAGGAGGCTTCTTTACATATTTGGGATGTCTAGGTTACCTTAATCTATGGGCCAAGAGAATATATCATGCTATAGCCTCATGTCCTGTGCTTCACACACAGACTGTAGAGTTAGAAAAACCTGGGGCTGTTTCCACACAAATAGAAAAAGTTTGTGTCAAACTTTTTATGCAATCCGGGCATAACTGCACATCAAAAACATTAACAAATCCAAAAATATCCGGCATGTATATTTCATACCGAAACTGGGTGACGTACACTTCATGCAAGTACAAATATGCACAGACGGAAATAACTTTACATTATTAGTTGCTTCCACATTTTACTTCCCCTGCCTCATATTCACAGCTGTGAAAACTATCGATCTGAGATTCTCTCTACCTAGGAATTACAACAACCTCCTGCATCACCTAACAACACCAGAGCTAAATTCTTTTTCATAAATGCCCTTCCCTTTTAAATTTGGACATTCTTCATTCTTTAACAATAAACCTCCTGAGATTAAAGAGGCAGAAGATACCTGAGAGCCTCTAGACATCCCTTTCATCTAAACAGCATGATTTCAATGGACTGGAAAAAGCATGTTGGTAAATAACTAAATAAAATATGAAAAAACGTAAACACACTCAATTGAATAAATCAACAGATGCTACAATCTGATTGGTGACTAAACATCTAAAAGTACGTGACCTGACATGAATGGAAATGAAAAACTTAATAGGTTCATTTTCTTCCTAGCTGCTTACAGTAAGTCAAAACTTTTTTTAAAATTGTTATTTACATTTTATAAGTGTAGCAATAGCATTGACATCACCACTCCTTTAAACACACTCTCCAACAATCAATTCAATATCCATATAAACATTTGGACTTCTGGCAGACTATCACCAAAATGAATGGATTAAAACACTATATACTCTGTAGCTATAATATATATAAATATAATATATATATATATTATATATATATATATATATATATATAATATATATATATATAATATATATTATATATAATATATATAATATATATATAATATATATATATATATATATATATATATATATATATATATATATACAACGCACACATATATACATATATATGTATAAATATAAATATGTATATGTATATATGTATATATGTATATATATATACATATATATATATACATATATATATATATAAACAAATTATATATATTATATAAATAAATATATATATGCATTATTTTTTTCATACATACTTACAAAAATACACAAAAACATACATACATATATAAGGCTACATGGCTGGAAAACTTGGGTCTACATAAAGGAAGTAGTGAACTAATTCTGGATAGACAGAAATAATAGCAAAAGGAAAGAAAATTACAAAGGGGAGTATAAGATAAGCCATGCTAGCAATATACAGAAATACATTCTGTAAATCTTGTTGGGAATGTTTACACTTTTTTCTAATTGATGATCAAGATTACACTCTCAGCAAACAATACTTTTTCAGAATTTAACCATCACATATATCTGCAGTCCGGATTATATATATATATATATATATATATATTATATATATATATATATATATATATATATATATATATATATATATATATATATATATATATATATATTTTTTTTTTTTTTTTTTTTTTTTTTTTTTTTTGGGGGGGGGGGTCTATGCTATTCTATAATATGCAATTAATAGCAAGAAAATAATGGATAAAAATATTGAAATCATCAATACTATGAAGATCAAGAGATATGGATATAAAAGAATCTATCAAGTTATACCAATCATGTGCGATTCAACATAAGCAATCATCAACCTTGTCCAAAATTAAAAGCTCAGGAGCAGAAGTGCAAATGTACTAAAACCAAATGCTTCATTATTTTCCAATTCCTTTTGCGTTGCCTTATTTACAATTTCACTTACTGGTTTACTGTGACAGTGTGAACATGCACTTGCCCTTCCCAATGCTTCAATTTTTTCAGAAAAATGGTTCATATTCAAAAGATGTAAGTAATCAAAAGATCTCCAACTTCAAGAGTACACAAAGTTTTGATCTCTGTAAATATACTCAGTCCTATATTACAATGTCTACATCCAACCTTCTATCATAATGTTCTAAGTTTATTAACTTACATCAGTTGATACTTTCAAACGATGACTTAGAGGTAAGGAATAACCCTGTTAATAATTCCAGTGTCTACTACTAGATTTACTCACAGCATTACCTTACAAAATAAGGAAGTATTAATACTTACACCTTTCTTTTTATTTTCTTTTTTCCTGTCTCTTCGTGACCTTGCTACCTCAAACTCATGGCATTCTTCCACATGTCTAATTCCATTACGACGATATCTGTAAACAGATCATTGCTGTGACAGAATTCACATTTATGAAAAAATCATCTTTTGTTCATGGTGCAACCTAACATGTCTCACCTACTCAATTCCTTTCATCATGAGAAACTACGGTATAATTCATATATGCACCACAAACTTTGAGCACCAAGATTATAAATGAAACTTTTAATGACCAGACATTGGTTAATCAAAGAGGTAGATCATGAAATCTACTTGTAAGCATTCACATAAGACCTCTGAACAATATCTCCTAGCTCTTACCTTAGTAATTCTCTTATCCTTGTTCTTAACTCTCTCTCTCTGACAATGGAGTTTATAAGATTATTGTGTTCACTTGCTGTTTGAAACTGGCTAATTGTTCTAAGTTTTTCAGCAACTGCCTCTCTGAAAAGATAAGAAACAAGTAAAATATTATCCACTGCCTCTATTTTAGAATTAATGTAACTAAAGAATACCAATGAGTATACTTTCCAGAAAAAATAGACTACACAAAAAAAGAAAGAAAGAAGTCTAACTCTAATAATGACTGCAATAAGTTTAAATATAACAAAATGTTTCTATTAATTCTTCCTAAACAGGTTATTCTCATACTTAATTGCTTCTTTTTCTTTAGTATTGTTAACTTTCTATATCTCTTCTCTAGCCCTTTACTCAGGCTTTACCCAAATAGGTTTTCCAAGCATAATTTTCCACTCCCTAAAAACTAGCATCTCAACCCATTGGCTCCAGGTGTCTCACTGCTCACAACTGGCCCAAAATCTGGGCATTAGGCTTATATGAACAGCAACATGCCCTGGTGTGTCACTTGTCAGCATGACCCTCATGAACACTTGCCTCTCTTTCCATGTTACTGTCTCTTTCTGTGTAAACATTTTTGTTTTTTTGCCAAGGTCTATATTTGCTTTTAATATACTGTATTAAGATGGTAATAGACATTTTTCCTTGCACAGACTCCTTATCATATCTCTAGGTAGTCATAAACTCTGTTCAATTACAAGTAAAATTTGGTTAATTATGGATTTTTTAAAAATATTTCCTACTGTTCAACTATCTGTAACACACCATGCACCACAAGCCACAGCAGGCAAGAACTAGATCCTATGCCTCTCCCTAAACACCCAATGAATCTAATCTTCCTCCAATTTTGGGCACATCCTGTCACCCTGGCCTTCAGTTAAATTTTTCACAAGGGCACATTCCCATCCCCCAGCCATTAGCCAAATTTTTTAATGAAGGTTTCAATCCCATCACACAGCCCTCAGTCAAATTCTTTCTTGACATGAGGCATGTCACCTAGAACCAAAGGGGAAGGTATCTGGTACAGTATGAGAAACTTCCAGACATACCAAATGGTACAGTATGAGAAACTTCCAGACATACCAAAAAGATAATCTAGTTGCAAAATTTACATACACATACATACTTTGCCAAACTTCTTTTCAGATCCTAGTCTATTCAAATTCTTTTCAACCCATTACCACCGGTATATTATGAAGCCGAAAATAAAAGATTTCGGGCAGCTACAAAATCAGCGAGCGGGGCTGGCCCGGACTCTGCCCGTGCACCAGCCACGGATGCGCTGATCAAGCGTCACACTGGCGGACGCCCAGCAATGTTCATTTTTTCGGGTGTCTCATATATGGGACACCGTTGTTACTGGGTTAACACTACACAGTAGCTACAATCAAACCCAAACCCTACAAGTTGACGCAATCCTTACTTATCATCTTTGCTTTTCTTTTTTGGAGGAACTTGGGCTTTTTCTCTTTCCTTCTTGAAAAATTGTGGAACAACCTGGAAGTCTCTAACTACCCGTTTTCTTCTCGATCTTTCACGAAGACGGCGCATGTACATATCAACCTGAAATAGAGGACATTTAAATAAAAAATAAATATATAAGAAAAAGATGGCCATTTGATCTCCCTGGTTTCAAGTTTGATCAATGTTTTAATCAAATAAACTGTCAAACAAAATCATCTCAACATCTGCATTTATCTCTACTGATTAACCTTCAATCACTACAATTTACACATCTGTTCTTTCATTTGATAATACTTACCTGTGCAAGTTTGAGAGCCATATCCACATCTTCATCATCAACTGGATGAATGAATAATGGTGCTATCGTTGTTTCTGCATCATTATCCCATTCCTATGTGCAAATAATAATAAATATATAATTACAATTTTCTCAAATTTTCACACAATGTTGCTAAATGCAACATAAATAAATATAATAGGATACTATGGCACAGTTAAATGGTATAAAACCTAATCTAGAAAATATACAAACTAAAACAACAAAATTACAAAAATGCAATATATATACCATCTTATAAGTTTTTAAAACTTTTCAAAGAAGTCTTAATACTGGATCTAAAACTTTTTAACATTTCACTTGTTAACTCAATGAAATATATCAACCAATTTTTATACAAGTAAATGTACAAAAAATCAATGCACAAATACCCGAGTTCCACTCAAAAACCCTAAACAATCAAGCTCACCCTCTCAAAATCATCTCTGTGTGGCATGTATCCAAGTATGGTGTTCTCCTCGTGGAGGGTGGCTGGGAGGGTAGTGAAGACCCTAGAGTTGGCGAGAGTGGTCCTGTGTCAGGGACTGTGTGCTCAATGGGGAGCTGCAATCTTTCTAATGCTGGTTTCCAGGAGGCTCGCCCAATAGCGCCATCTATGTAACTGCTGATGTACTTATTTCTTGCTTCTGTTGGTTTCCAGAAAAGATTAAGTGAATCATGCAATATCTTGCACCCACTTAACAACAGAGGTCTTTTCTTTTTCTTTCAATAATCTGAAATTTTGGCATGAGGTCCCATTTCTTGTTTCAATCAATGCTTTCAATATTTGTAAGTGATCATTCTAACAAGAAATGTTAATGTTCTAATTCACCAAAATACAAAAAAATATAATAAAACTAAATATGTCAAAACTGCTATATCCATTTGTATTTTCAACTATCTATGAACCCAATGCACCAAGAAAAAGAACATTGCACACGTATAGAAATAAATAGCAATAGCTAATTAATAATTCAATTCATTAAAAAAAAACATAAAAGGTGATATCTCCCTCATAAAAGGTAAATCATAGACTTACTTTTGTTATGACCAAGACTATCTATACCATAATGACTTTTGAATAGTTAATTTTGCACCACATACTCTCCACAATATAATATTAGATGACAGATCATTCACTTATTCAATATTTTCATTTGTAAATATATCACTCTACTTGTTATGAACTGCAAAAAGATTATATAACAAATAAAAATAACAAGCCTCTTGAACCTCACTAACAATAAAAAAATTGAATATATTAACAATTTCTCAAAAGGTTAATTACTTCTTAAAGAATCTGCACTTTATCATGAAAATAATTTACTAAATATCTTCCTCATAAAACTATGATTTTGTTAATTTCATAAGACAAATTTAGCCTTCAATGCTTGTCAACATCAATCTCACCTGACGACCTGTTGTGACTTTAGCTATAAAGATAAAAATGAAAAGAGAAGTAAACTAAAGAAAAAAAATCTTACTGACCTAACACAACACTTTCAATGGCAGTGTTTACTCACCACCTTGTGAACCCCAGATCAATGTAAAAATTATACAAACGTACCATCTGGAGTGCGAGTCTCGATATGGCGCGCAATGTCCTCCCAGTTACCGTACCCATACTGCTCAATGGCGTCCAGCAATCTGACCTCCTCTCTAGCAGTCCAATGGCCTTGACCGGGGAAAATGCTAAAGTTTCCTGTGTCCTGGGAAAACACCGGCCTGTGAGAGAGCGGGCCCAAGAAAAGACAGTGACCCGTTAGTGAGGGGGGTGGCGGTAAGCAGAGTGCAGCGGCGGGGGCACCTGTCTTCATTGACAATATACGGTCGCCAACAAGTCTTGCTTGCTTCCTGCACCATCATCATAACCCTTAGGACCAAATGTGTTACAGTAAGAATCCTGCGTCTCCACTAAGCAGAGAAGTTTAGCTTGTGAAAGAGGAGTCGTGGTTAATAATGCTTTACTTCTATGAATTTACAAAAGCAAACCTTAAACAGATCTTGATTTATATTAAAGTTTACTTTCACCCTCCTTCCTTCTTTTGATTAATCATTTAATTTCCATCACTTCATGAACAGATTTCATTTCATTTTCCTTTTGGAAATCCAAAAACTACAAATTTCTTCATTAATAAAATAATATACTATGCAGTTATGAACTTCTATTGAAGTCCAGTAACGGTCTTTAACTAACTTCAAATTTCCAACACACACACACACACACACACACATATATATATAAGAACTGGGAAGTAACAGCAATATTGTTTACTTTAACTGTCCTCCACTTCTTCATATCTACACTGGACAATACTAATAACGGTATCCTTAGGAAAACTACTGATAGGGCTTTTATAGGTACTTGTCATAAGACTACTATTACATCTTTGTCATAAGACTACTATTACATCTTTTTTTCTAGCATTACTAATGGTGTCACTATTGTGAGGGAACAGTACCATGAATAGAACTATCAGCCTCTTTGGAGCCTTTTTCAAAATAGTTGTAGTAATTTGTATTTTTTGGGATACTTATTCACAAGAGTACCAACAGTAATTTCTAACTTTGTGTGCACCTGCATAAGCTTTAGAGCTAAAATCCTAAAAACTGACTCATTCTTTCCGAATAACAGAATCAAAATGAGATCTTCAACTCTGAAGAATCATACGAATATATATAATATGTAACAACAAAATGCATATAAAAATAACAATCTCAACTCTTAGTAATTTGTTAGAAAGTTTCACAAAGTTAAATTTTCAATTAATTTTCAAATTAACTTTTATTCACCAAACAAAGAATAGTAAACCGGTTAAAAGACTACAAAACGCTGTTCATGATGTAACACATTCTGGTTCCCTTTTATCAAGTCTGTTAGCATTCTCATATACAGCAAAATATGCTGCCAATGAGTATGTCAACAAAGCTGATCTTTGGTTATAAAAATTCTCGTTCTCATTGTTGCACATTAAGTATCACATCAATTCTATCAGATTATTCAATTTTCAAGAATTTCTGTTTTTTCAGCTAGTAAAAGACAAAATGAAAAGATCTTATAGTGCGTAAAATGAAAAGATCTTATAGTGCATATCTCATGTGATACTACTTATGTTATCCATTTATTGCAACGTTTATTTGAGCAATGACTGTCTGATCTTCTTGTTTTATCTGCAAATGTCAATTTTGTTTCCTTATTAAGTTTCAAACATAAAAAGGAAAAGAACTGGGAGGTATAATACGCATAATCATAAGGTACTACAAAGCTTCTATGTAAAAATTTTGCTCAGAAAGTGGGGCCCAAGCCATGTAAATATATAGAAGATATTGAAATTTTCAACAAAGAAAATCATTTAGTTGTGAAAAATAGCAAAATCTTCAGCAAGACACTGTTATGCACTTAAAAAGAGGGAACTGCATGAGAAAATGCTGTGACCATAAAATATAAAGCATGCACTCTGCCACCAAGAATCACACCACGGGAAAATATGCAATTACAGAACTTTACAATTAGTGCAAGTCAGGACTTATATTCAGGAAATGGTAGCCACTGATAATCTCTACAATCCTCTTCATAATACAGGAGTCACTAATCTGTTAAGAGAGCTACAATTAACAATATAATTAAGAAAGCCATATATATGAGAAT